CGCGGAAACTCTTAAAAACCGGAATAATGGCGGAAGGTGCCAAGTATAACATTGAAAAATTGAACGGGCAGAATTACGAGTCATGGAATTATCTGGTGAAAATGTTACTCATAAATGCTGATTTATGGGACGTAGTATCGACTGCAGTACCAACACAAGCAGCGCAAGACGCCAAATGGAAAAAGGAAAATGACAAAGCCTTATCAACTATAGCCCTACTTGTCGATGTTAGTCAATTGGTGCATATCAGAAATAAGCAATATGCACGTGAGGCGTGGGAAGCACTAAAGGAGTATCACCAAAAATCAAGTTTATCTAGCATGGTGTTTCTATTAAAGCGGATTTGCAGGTTGACGCTAGAAGAAAATGGTGATATGGAAGCACACATCAGTTTATTCTTGGAATTATTGCACAAATTGGCCGCCTTAGGAGAAGAAATTAAGGACAGATTTGCAGCAGGGATTTTGCTGGGAAGTCTTCCAGACTCGTACAGTTTTTTAATTACAGCGCTGGAAAGTAAACCATCAAATGAATTTACGCTGGAATTCGTCAAAAGTAAATTAATCGATGAGTACAGGAGACGTCAAGGATCTTTGAGAATTCAAGAGGAGTTAGCCATGAAGTCAGTATATAAAGGTGACAGAAGTAATCATGCTGCAAACAGTGCAAACACAGACGGAAAGCAATGTTACTTTTGTAACAGAAAAGGCCACTTTAAACGGGATTGTTTTAAGTATAAGGCGTTTATAAAAGAAAGGGCCAATACAGTTAGTGAAAATAATACTGATGATATGTGTTTTATGGTAAATTTTAGCGACGTGAAACGGGATTCTGCTTCGTGGTATGTGGATTCAGGAGCTTCGAGTCACATGGTTAATTCTAAGGGATTTTATACCCAGTTTGATGAAAGCAGAAAAGGCGTTGTGAGACTAGCAGAGAAGGGGCAGCACTCCAAAGTTGAAGGCATAGGCACAGGATCCATCAAGTGTGTAAATAGAGCGGAAGTATACGAGCTAAAAATCGATGATGTGTTGTTTGTGCCGCAATTGGATTCAAATCTACTTTCTGTGAAAAAACTAACAAGTGCGGGTTATAACGTGCATTTTAACGACAGTGAATGTAAAATCGTTTTACACGAAAAAGTGATAGCAAGTGCAAGCCCGGCGCCCGACTTGTACAAGTTATCAACCGTGCAGCAGGCACTAAGCGTTACTAATGAACATTCAAGTGACTGTCAGCATACATGGCATCGACGATTTGGGCACAGGGACATGGAAGCAATCAAGCACCTGATGGAAAGAAAAATGGCATCCGGGATTATTATTAAGGACTGTGGGATCAGAGAAACTTGCAATTGTTGTGTACAAGGTAAAATTATCCGCAAGAGTTTCCCGAAAAATTCTCAAAATAATACATTCAATATACTTGATTTAATACATACAGATGTTTGCGGACCCATGAAGACTGTCACTCCGGGAGGTAAGCGATACATTCTTACTTTAATTGACGATTTCTCAAGGTATACAACTGTATATTTAATGAATCATAAAAATGAAACTTTAAAATATATTAAAGAATTTATTGAGTTAATGAATAATCAGTCAGGCAGGGTTCCGAAGGCTTTTAGGTCGGATAGGGGTGGTGAGTATGTAAATAATTTTTTGAGGGAATATTTAAAGGGTAAGGGCATAAAAATTCAGTACACTGCGGGGTACTCTCCAGAGCAAAATGGGGTTGCTGAGAGGAAAAATAGGTCGCTAGTTGAGATGGCTAGGTGTATGTTAATTGATGGGGATTTATCAAAGAAATTTTGGGGTGAAGCAATAGTTACAGCCAATTATTTGCAAAATCGACTACCTACCCAGTCAAAACATAAAACACCTTTTGAGTTATGGCATGAAGTTAAACCTGACGTGTCGAATTTGCAAATATTTGGGTCTAGAGTTTACAGTCACATTCCAAAGGAACTAATTAAAAATAAATTTGATAAAAAGGCGGAGTCGTTAATTTTCGTGGGATATTCTGATGAATCTAAAGCATTTAGGTTGTTGGATAAATATACAGGGCGTATAAAAATAAGTCGTAGTGTGGTGTTCCCCGAAAGTAATACATATATTGAAGAAAATAAAATAAAAAAGAAGAAAAGGCAAGAAGTTTTATCGGAAGTGTTTTTCGAATTGACAAAAGCACAGGAGAAAAACGAACCAAACAACTCAGAGGAAAAAGAGGTCACCGATTTCGAAAATATCGAGGAAATAGAAGAAGCCACGGAAGAATCTAGTTCTTATGAAGGTTCAAATACAAAACAATATCACGGCAGTGGTCAAAGCTATCAACCGAGCAAAGAACCTGGCATGTATGACGTGGGTAGCCGTAGTAAATCAAATAGAGTAAATAAGGGAGTTCCACCCGAGCGCTACGTAGCAAAGTTCGTTGAACTACAAGAAATAGAGCCCAAAAACTTCAAGGAAGCTCTTGCCAGCAAAGATAGTGGAAAATGGATGCAAGCTATGCAAGACGAATTCAAATCATTAAAGGTTAACGAAACATGGAACTTAGTACATGCACCGAAAGGAAAAAATATAGTATCATGTAAATGGATATTCAAGCTAAAGACAGGTGAAGATAAAACGTCGAACAAATATAAGGCACGACTGGTGGCGAGGGGTTTTAGCCAAAAATTCGGAGTTGATTACGATGAAGTATTCGCACCTGTAGTGCGGCAAGCAACTTTCCGAATATTGCTAACACAGGCATGGAGTCAAGATCTCACAATAAGACATTTAGATGCAAAAACAGCTTTCCTAAACGGAGAACTGACAGAAGAAATTTATATGAAACAACCTGAAGGATTTGAAGAAGGAGACACAAGTTATGTTTGCAAATTGAACAAGAGCTTATACGGATTGAAACAGTCTGCCAGAATCTGGAACCAGAAACTTGATGAAATATTGACAAATGATGGATTTCGTAAAAGTAATATTGATGCATGTTTGTATATTAAGATTATCGATGACCAAAGGGTTTACATAATAATATACGTAGATGATATATTGATTGCAGCAAAGGATATTGAAGAAATTGACTTTTTTGAAGAAAAATTAAAACATTATTTTGAGATAACAAGTTTGGGGTTATTAAAAAATTATTTAGGAATAAATATTGTGAAAAATGATCAAGGAATTTACAGTTTGAATCAAGCAAAGTATATAGACAAACTGTTAGACAAGTTTGGAATGAAAGATTCAAAAACATCAAATATACCATTGGATAACGGATATTATAAACTAGACCGGCTGGAGCCTATGAAAAATAGTGAAATATACCAACAATTAATCGGAGGATTGCTATACATTGCAGTAAATACGAGACCTGATATATTGGCTAGTGTAACTATATTAAGTCAACACAATAAGGATCCGAAAGAAGTTGACTGGAATGAAGCTAAAAGAGTGTTGAGATATTTAAAGAAAACAAAACATAAAAAACTCGTATTAGGAGAACGCAGTTCAGATAGTGTACTATATGGATATGCAGACGCTGATTGGGCGGAAGATAAACAGAACAGAAAATCGAATAGCGGATACATATTCATGATACAGGGTGCACCTATTAATTGGGGATGCAGGAAGCAGAGCTGTGTGTCACTATCGTCAACTGAAGCTGAGTACATAGCACTAGCTGAGGGTTGTCAAGAAGCAATTTGGTTAAAGCAGATGATACAGGAGTTTGTGGATTTGGAACCGAGAGTAGTTATGTATGAAGACAACCAAAGTTGTCTCAAGCAACTAGAAAACCATAAATTTAGTAATAGAACAAAACACATTGATACAAAGTATCACTTTGTGAAAGAATTGTGTGAAAGGCGGGTTTTTGATTTTAAATATTGTCCGACTGAGGATATGATTGCTGATATGTTAACCAAGCCGCTAAATAAAGTGAAGTTGGAATATTTAAGTGCCAAGAGTGGCCTGTCTGACTGATTGAAAAATAATTATGGTTGAGAGGGGGTGTTGAAATAATATACTTGTTCAACAATAATCATTTTTAAATTTGAATAGGTAAACAGTTTTCATGGGTCTGTATCAAGGTTTGAGACAATCAATAGGATTGCATTCTTTTATTTATAATTATTTTTTGTACACCTGTGAACCAGTTTTTAGTTAGTGTGACAATTTGTCAAAGTAGTAGTCATTTTTTATATTATTTTTATTAATTTCTATTGTTCATTTTCCGGTTAATAAAATAGTTTTCTACTTTAAATTGTATCTGATATTATCTCCAAATTTGAACAGTTGGATAGTTCATAAATTATCCAGCTAGTTTACAAACTATCCAGCTAGTTTATAAACTATCCAGCTAGTTTACAAACTAGCCAAGTTTGCATATTAACCGTAACATATACTACATACTTTATTGCCTGAAAAACAAAAATGATTTTTTATTAACAATGCATTAGTAAATCCTAGAGTAAAACAGAAACAAGTGATCGAGCAAGTGATTAAATAAAGTTAGTGTAACAATCAAAATAAACACTAAACACACAAATCTAAAAATATACAAGTTAAAAAAGTAAAGATATTTCTCAACAGCATCACTTATTGATAGTTGAAATTTACACACCAATTTTTTTTGCGACTAACCGCTTGTAACCAACCATGCTATAAACGGTTAGTCGCTAAAAAATCCTTCAAATATGAAATTGCTATGTTATCCAGAAATTCGTTCCTGAAACCTCTTCAGTTCCCTAATTTCGGGAAGCTAAATATTATAGGTAAATGATTAAATACTCTCTCACTTTTATAGATTACTGAGCCTTGTGTCAAAGAAGATTCTGGGATCGGTAAAGAATTAAATAGTTTCATAAGATCTTGATCTATCTGATCGTAAAATTTCTTGTACATAAGACTTGGTGTCTAGTGGTCTACAATAATCTTGATATCCTCCCATTTGGATATACATTTTTCTTCTATGTGAATTAAATTTTCCTTTTTTTTCAGGTGAATTATTAGAAAGAGCTCAAAGACTCTGGGAAGATAATAATAAAAATAAAGATCTTCCAGACAATACTCCATCTGAAGAATTATGTAAGCTCTGTATGGACGCACCATTAGACTGTGTTCTTCTTGATTGTGGCCATATAACTTCTTGCATCGAATGCGGAAAAAAATTAGCAGAATGTCCCATATGTCGCCGTTTCGTAGTGAAAGTCGTAAGAACATTTAAGGCTTAGAGAAAATTAATTGCATCTATTTTAATTTGAGCGATTAATAATGTGATTTCAATAACTACTGTTTGGGTGATAGATATTTTATCTATAAGATACTATACGTTTTTGAACAAATTATTTAGTTAGGTAGTTTATAAGTTACAAAAATTTTCTAGGTTCGTGTTTAAACAAATAGGAATTTAAAATAAATTTAAAACTGTTGTTGCTTTTTGCGTTATGTAAAGTCTGTAGCTAGAACCGTTGATTGATAACCGGGTTCAAAAAAAATATTTCAAAAGAGTTATTGCATGGAATTTGCAATCAATGTTTGTTCATGCAGATGATAGTGAAATAATTGTTGCCTCTTTTAAGGTATATTATATTGTGTTCTTTTATTAATAGCATAATTATTGTTATTTTCACCTAACCATTATTTTTCTTTATAAATAATTAGGTACTTTAAATTAATGACATTGTCTTTGTTTATTAATCAATCAATTATTTTTATTCATCAAACAATATAGCTACCTCTTTCTGCTACAATGGGCTAATCATTTATTTTCCAGAAAGCGAATTTATTTTTCTTTCAGAAACTTGGACGATCTATATGCAAAAAGCTTGAGAAAGTTGTACAAAAAATTTTGAGCATTTACGGTTATTATAGAGTGAAAACACTTTTCAATAGGTTTGTTCCAAGACAGCAGAAAACCGTACAATGTACTATCACGATTCTGCGCAATACCTAAAATTTGTGCCTTGAATTCAAAATTCGTATACTGAGTGGTTTCGAAACCGTTCATGGGACGGTTTTTTGATGTGTTGGAACAGACCTAATAAATGTCTAACAGACGGAAAAATACCACACAACTGCCATCGTCGTCCTGATATACAAAAAAGGAGTTCGGACAGTGGCGTAGTGACGATGTTCCGGGCCCCTGTTCAAAAATTTTACTGGGCCCCTACTCTTGCGATATGGAAAAATTGAGAAATGATAGAAATATATATTTTTTTTTCCCAAATATACAGGGTGAACTTAAAGTATGAAACATATTGAATATAAAATAAATGAAGGCATTTCGAAAAAACGCTCGGACAAGTCGATTTTTGCTTGAGATCTCTGTCTCACATTAATGTTTTTATACAAGAACAGCTGTACCATTATCAACTTTATTTTTTTTAAGTGGTACTGTCTGTATATTATGACATTTCTGGATTCTGCAGAAAATTCTAGACATATTTCATGCACAATGTCCAGCCAGAAATATCCTTTATGTTAAAGCTTCTTTATAGCTCCTGCAATTTTTGAAGGATTTAACTCAAATTTGGAATATGGGTTACACAATAGGAGCTGAATGATTGCACATGCCAAAAGTTCGCCAGAGTACTGTATTATTATTATTATTATATTTTGGGAAGCATTGGGATTATTTTTGGGAAAAGGCTAATACATTTTAAATAATAATGATAATTAGTTGTTACGATTTCCTTTATTGTGTTAACACTAATAATTATTTTCACATTCAATTTCTATTTTTTTCCTCAATCAATTAAAACTACAACGATATTAGCTTATAATATCAAAAAACTCTTTAGCCTTATCAGTTATTACTCTCCCATCTTCAAAGCAATCACCCCCTTGCAAAAAAATTGGTGTAAATTCCCGATAAGCCAAACATACCCTCCTCTCAACAATATCGTCTCTTAAAATCCTATGTTCATAGTCATACCTTGCACTACCATACATCACCAGCAAGGATTTTTTTGGCATTGGCACTAATACTATTTCATCTTGTATCTTTTCAATATCCAACATGTCACTTACATTTGATGCTACTCTATTTCCAACAGTTTTGGGATAACTTTTCACTAAATCTAAATTATACTTTTTGGGATATTGATTAGGTGTCATTAATAACACAGAGTCACTTAATAAATTAACAGTAACAATTCTCTCACCCCAAACCCAACAATCATCTACATGGGGGTCAATCGAAGCCCCTCTTTCAGGGTCATACTCTAGGGAACACTGCTCAATGGTTTGGAAGTCTTGCAGTATTGGCACTTGTCGAAATTTGTCTTGCACAAACTTGGTAAAACTTGGGAAGCCTTTGAAATCACCTAAACGCAGCTTACGGCCTTTGAAATTGCATTTGGGTCCGAAATTTTGTTTGCGTCTGCCGCTCTGAGACAAATCCCAAGGCATCAAGTCAAGATTTTCAATTAACCTATCATGTTCCAAGTCATCTAAGAAGTCCTCTTGGATATAGATGCCTTCATACCTCAAAGGCTTTCCCGAGTGGTTTGGATGCGATTTGTAGGAATTTGCATCCTTACCAGGATAACATAAGTTGCAATAAGGGCAGTAGACCACTTTCGTTGTATTCAGCTTAGGTTCTTCACCAGTGGAGGGTATGCTGAACTCTGTTTCGCAATTTAGACACGTTCTGTAACCTTTGCAGCCACAAGGACGATTTGTATTCATTTTTTTTTATTTTTACTTATACAGTGAAATCAATTTTACATCACTACTAGAAAAAACAAAAAACAACTAAAAAACAAAAATTCAAAATAGACAAGTGAGGTTATGTTGTTAAGGAACCCTATTTTGACGTTTGCACCGCAACAAAAGGTGGGTTCGGCTTGCTCACTCCGAGTGACTCCATTTGCACTCCAGCCGTTCGGGTATTGCTTTTTCGCGTATTAGGGGTGACTCCATTAGCGTTCGACTAAATGGAGTTCACTCCAAAAGTTCCACCTCGGACGAGAATTTTTTAGAGCAAGCATGCGTAATTTTTTTTTTTTTTAGAACTGAAATGTGGAAACTTGTTGGGTCTATTCGGGTTTGGAAAAAGTACGGTTCTAGAACGGTTCAAAAGAATCGCACAGTTTATTATTGAAATTTGTGACAGCCGAGTCGTTGTTATTTTGTTGATCAATAAACTGTACGATTGTTTTGAACCGTTCTAGAACCGTCCTTTTTCCAAACCCGAATAGGCCTGGTGGGGAATTCTCATCCTCTAGTCGCAACCTATCGTCCCGTCTATCCCATTGCCTTTCTACGGGTGAGTCGGGGCGATAGGTAGCGACTAGAGGATGAGAATCCGCCCCCTGTTGTGTTGTGGTGGGCCTCATTCGAATTTTTTCTGTTTTTAAATTGATATTCATTAAATAAATGCACAGTGACCTTAGTAAAATTTTCAACTTTCTATTACTATTTAACTACCCTATCTTCGTTAGAAAGATTTTTTCAGGTAATGACCAACGTGAATACAGGGACACTACCGTCCCTGTTTGGGAATCGGCCCACTAAGCAGTGGACTCAGGCTTCCCGTGCCAATCTTTGACTCGTTTCGTCCTTGTTGGCACTCATCAGAAGGACATAGACTGAAGCTCCCTGTTCAAGCAAAATTGAACTTCGTTGACCAGTCAGAAACAACTACTCCGAGGGCAAATACTCCTACCGGCGTTGAACTACACTGATTGGTCTGAGCTTTCGTTGGCAATGGAAATTGTTAGAAAGATTTTTTCAGGTAATGACCAACGTGAATACAGGGACACTACCGTCCCTGTTTGAGACGAAACGCGTCGAGGATTGGCACGGGAAGCCTGAGTCCACTGCTTAGTGGGCCGGTTCCCAAACAGGGACGGTAGTGTCCCTGAATTCACGTTGGTCATTACTTGAAAAAATCTTTCTAACAATTTCCATTGCCAACGAAACCTCAGACCAATCAGTGTAGTTCAACGCCGGTAGGGGTATTTGCCCTCGGAGTAGTTGTTTCTGACTGGTTAACGAAGTTCTACCCTATCTTCATTATTATCATCAAAATAAATTTCCTTGACAAAGTTAAACAGAGACAAAAACATCATATTATTCATTAATGTGGAGACATTGCAGTTAAGCACACGAAAGACCAAAGACTAAAGTGAAAAAAAAATTGTGTATTTATTTTTCACTCATCAATCCTAGATCACGTGACAACAATCTGCTCTTACTCCACTCCAACTCCGTGCTGAATAGCCGAACCCAGCTAAAATAAGCCGCTTTCCAGCTGACCATTTTGAGCACGCAATCGAGCTTTTGCGCGCACAAATGCTTTAAGCGCGTGTTCGTGTTCCAGCAGTACTGCGCTTCGAGAGCTGCCAACTTTTGCGTTCTAAACACAGAACACTGTGCTGCACCGTGCTTGAAGCACACAGCTGGGGCGAGTTCAGGAATGACACACCTAGTGTGAGTGTGACACCGGTGCGACGCCCTAACTGTTCAAAAATGCTAGACGGTGCTATGGGCCCAATGGCCAATTGTCAATTCAGGCACACCCAGTGATGTGCCTGTAAACAATGTCAACGTAAACAATTGATTGTCTACGTGTAGACAATTCGAATTGTTTACGTGGGCATTTGTCTACACATTGTCTACATGTGACGTAAACAATAAACTTATTTTAGAAAATATGAGGAAAACCGATAATAAAATAAAAATAATTTTCGAAAAGGAAAGTGTGAGGTTAGAATTAAACGTTATTTATTCTATTTTACATTGTTGACGCGTTGTCTACATTGTCTACACGTAAAGTAGACAATGAAAGTCTACGTGTAGACGCACATCCCTGGGCACACCCATAAAATCGCACTCGCACCCTGTGCGTTATTTCTGAACTCGGCCCTGGAAAGCAGCTATAGGTTTTCATTTGTACTTGGTAGATCTGTTCTAAGCAGGAGCACGATTCTGAAAACAAAGCCTGTTTTGAGTATAGGAGTCCGGAACTGATTGAGGCAGCTCTAGCAGTTATTAATGAAAAAACTACAGTAATTGTAAGGGCGGGTATTACGGGTATCACAAAACCATTTTAACAGATAACTTCTGGAATTACCATGGGCCGGTTTCTCAAAGGGCTTCTTGCACCCACCGCAAATTTGTTGCATCAGGGGAAAGGGGGATGCACTCTGGGCGACTCGAGTGCTTAACGCACTTTTAAAAGGAACGTTCAAGCTTTTGACATTGAGTAGCTCCGAGTAACTCAACGGGTAAAAGGAATACAGTAAATAGCGAGTCACCCCCGAGTTAAGCATACTCCGGGGTAAACATAGCAACCAGACACGCTTACCCTGGAGCTAAAACCAACTCGTAGGTGACTCGCTATTAGTTGTGTTCCTTTCAGGAGTTCAAAACACTAGAGCTACTCGCTCCGGTGTTAGTCGACCCTGATTTGAAAGGAACAGATGCGCTGGTTTTCATGCATTTAAATTTAAATACTTTGAGTCGGGCTTGAGCACTCAGGTGCAATAAACACTTTTCGAAGGGAATAAGCGTGTAACGCCCCGAAGCTGTTCTGGAGCCCCTCCTAGGTGTGAAAGGAATACAACTATTGAGAAACCGGCCCTATGAGAAGTAACGTCATTCCTGAAGTTAACTTTTAGTTCTGTCAAAATTTTTTGTAATACCCGCCCGTAAAACTAATGGCGATTTCCATTTGTCAATCAGTGCGCTCTGAGTGTATCCGCATTTTTTTCTAAAAGCATATAACATGTAAGGATAAAGATACATTTTCTTTTGCACTGGTTCGACAAATGGAATTTGCTATAAATTGTATCCTCCTGTGTAGGTATCCTTTTATTTTAGGTTACAAAGTTTATTGGTTACAAGTATCAGGCAATTTTTCGCGGGGACAATCAAGCATAATCTAATTATGCTGGGTTATGTGATGTTTCAACTGTGTAATACTCGCCTAACTCCCTTCCTAATAAATTTTGGGCCTGCGAATGACGTCACTATTAGCAGCTTATAATGATGACATCACCCGCAGACCTCGATGGAATGCTCGCGATTCAGGCTGTGCTAGTGAGTTAATTTTTTCGCCGATTTTAACAGGTTGACTGCCAACTACGAGATAACTCGAATTGAGCGTCTGGGTTCAGGTCCAACATCAACTTGACGGCGGTGTGGACAAGAAAAATCGAAAAATTATTTTATTCAGATTTTATTTGTGACTGAAATAAAGGAAAATCACTTCGATATAATGGGCGTCTGGGGCTAAATCCTTATATCAGGCTTGGCAGTCAACGTGTTAAATGTAGAAAACGTGTTTTTCGGTCTATTCTCACAGTAGAAATTAAGTGTTCTTGATTCTTGAGTATTCCAGAATAGGGTACCTACTTGCATGGAAAATTAAATTGATTATTGTTTATTGCAAACTGTAGGAAATCGAAAAAAAATCGATGCGTGTTTTTTCATTTTGTCCAAATATGATTATTTCGAAAGTTATACAAATATTGAGTTTTGTATATATAGATATACTAAGCATGTGCGACGTCACAACGTATTATAAGTTATGACGTCAGAAGTACATTTCAAAGCGTTGTATCTCCGCCAAAACTAACAGAAAAAATAAAAAACACGTGTTGGCTTATTTTTCTTGAACTATCGAAATCAGCAATAAAAAAAATTTGATGCAAGGGGCCTATTTGATGTTGGGGGAGTTAGGAGATTATGGCACAATTGACACATCACATAATCCAGCATAATCGATTATGCTTGATTATGCTCGCGAAAAATTGCCTATTGATCAATTTATTGATACACATTATTATTAGGTCTGTTTCTGCAGAAATCGTAAATAGGTCAGAGCGAATTTCATTGGTTGAAACTAGTTTTCTGACTGTTTTCAACCAATGAAATTCGCTCCGACTGGTTTGGAATTTCTGCATAAACAGACCTATTATGGTTAAAGTCTTTTCTCTACAATGGAGTTTTTGTCAAATGGCAATCCCTGTCATTGCCGTAGGTATAAAGCAATTATTGGCGAGGATAATCAAGCATAATCTGATTATGCTGGGTCATACTCATTAAGGGCCGAATTTATAGTCTTTCCTTTACACGAATGTGAATTTTGACAATCCCATGACCGAAAAAAATGCATTACACACATTATATTGCTTACCACTTTACGCACTAGTGCTTAAAGAAGTTCACTAAAAAGATACTAAATTGACAATGTCGACATCTGTCATTGACATTAGGTACTTCATGCACTAGTGTGTAAAGGAATTGTACTTTACGTACTAGCAATGAAGTGAAATTTTACGTTTTGAATAGTGCGTAAGCCGTAAAGTGAGTCTTTTATAGGTACGCATGGTAGTACAAAAATAGTTATTTATGCAACAAGTGTGTAAAGTGAACCTTTTTTTACGACGAATGTGAATTTTGACGCACGAGCCGGAGGCGAGTGCAACAATCACATGAGTGAAAAAAGGTGCTTTACGCACGTATTCCATACAAAATTTTTTCTACTACCAATCAAATATGTGTAAAAAAATAAATTTGAACAAATACTTTACGCACTAGTGCGTGAATAATTTTCACTTTACGCACTAGTGCGTGAAGTAATTTAACAGAAAAATGCCAAATTGACAGTGTTGACATCTGTCATGGACATTACTTTACGCACTAGTGTGTGAAGTGAATTACTTTACGCACTAGTGCGTGAAGTGAAATTTTACATCTTCTGAATTGTGCCCAAAGTGAGTACTTTACGCACGGTAGTAGAAAAAATCTTTTTTTCTCAAACGTCA